TGGGCGTAGTCGAGGCCCGCGTGCTTGGATGCGAGGCCGGTGATGTCGTCTGGCCCGGAGACCTGCCACCACTCGAACCTGGGAGTATCGTGAGCTGGATGTTAACCTTCTTTTTTTGGATATCTGCGCGGGTCCGGACTTACGGCTCGTTGCATAGTAGCCAGTACCACTGTCTGTTGGCCGTGTTGTTGACGGAGAGATCCGTGTACATGGGGTTGTCCTTGTTGTTCATGTCCATGCACGCTGCGGTGTTGTTGTCTGCCCAGTAGCCGAATTCCGCGCATTCTGGGTGCTCTTGTCAGTGTCTGGGAGCTCCGTTGTTGTCATGGCGGGTGACTCACCTCCCGGCAGATAGACTTCTTTGGACCACTTGGCAAAGCCGTCGAGGGCTTTGGAAGTGCCGACACCCTCTGGCCCTGGAACAGCAGGCCGGTCGCTAATTATGCGACTGCTTTTCGGTGGGAAGACGTTCTGTTTTGTACCATGTTAGATGGTGTTCAGGTATGCTCGAATATGGACCAGGGTAGTGTGGGATAGTACCTCGAGGTAGTCGCACATCTGGTACAGGGCGTTTGGTTTCTTCGTCTTGAAGAACACGGTTCTTTGCCACTTTTGCAGACCGCCGGCGAGGGCCGCGCCGAAATCGTCGTCATGAGTGAGTGATTCGAGGCCGAATTTCTTCTTCAGGGCATGTTTTTCGTCCTTTGTGCCGTCAGATAGGATGCCGTCAATGTGCTTCATGACCCCTTGCATATCCGTGCTGCAATTTTTGGGCATGGCCTCCTTGATGGGCTCGTTGTATTTCCAAAAGTTGGGAATCGCTTCGACGACGGCGCTTGAGCAGTGATATGCCCAGAAGGTGCCCGGGGCCAGGTGGTGCGTCCATGCCGCGAGGGCGCCAGCGTACGAGCAGCCGGTTAGAACCCACGGTGCCTTGGTTGGCTTTGAGGTCCCGGCGAGGTCGAATGGCAGCTCGACGTTGTGGGCAAAGTAGATTAGGTCATGGATGGCGTTGTCGAGGTTGAGGTACTCAAGGTTGGTGGTGGTTAGGTTGTCGAAGGGAGAACTCTTGCCCCAGTATCGGTGCTCGAGCACAATGACGGCACCGCCATTGGTTTGAGCAAATCTCCCGGCGAGGGAATTTTTGGTCGCATGGAAGGCATTGGCCTCGTGCTCAGCAGGCGCGTTGAGTATAATCGGGGAGCCGGGCCCGGCCCAGTCATCCGCGTTGTACCAATAGCGTTGGGAGAATCTGCCGAGCTCGGGCTTGTTGTGGTCTATGAGCTGCTGGAAAACGCCTTCGTGGGTTGGGCCATGGGATCTCTTGGTCAAGCTGCCATCGTTGGGCGGAGGAGGTGGTAGGCCGTTCAGGTGAATCCGGTTGATGCGAGCCCCTGATGGCACAGCGAGCAAGAGGTTTACTGCTATGCCAACGAAACTACTTACACGCATTGCTTAATATGTCTGGTAGACGAGTATTTTGCAGTAAATTCCGGGGGGCCACTCGGCTGGAAGATGGCCAAGGCAAGATGAGTTGGGAAAATAGCTTTTGGCTCGAGGCGGCAAAAACTGAAATCTATATACTTTGCAGTCACCTCGACCACATCTTCTTGATGGCGCCATGTCGTCCTAGCCTCCTAGTCGTAGTACTAGTATCAGTTAGTGGCCTGCTATATTTGCCATGCCATATAGCAAAGATGGCCCGTCGACTTTCTAATTACACGCTTGTTTTTGGGGCAACTCGACGAATAGCAACGTAATCCAGGCACGACACTGGCCAAATCACACGATTACAGGGGGGCAAATGAACAAAATACGCCTGAAGCTGCTCAGGTTCTGCAGCTGCGTGCCTGATCTGCCGCCATCCAGGTTCCATGGCTTCGGGTCTCGTGCCGAAGTGGGTGTTGCGACGCCACGGGAAGATTGTCAGCTGCCCGCATAGGAAACTAGGCTCATGTTAGCATCTGTACTTGGGAGGCGGTACGGCTTCCAGTGAGGTCATGGCTGTGGAGAATAGAGTTGGCGTTAAAAGAAGGTTGATTGCAATTTGAAGCCAAAAAAGGGGGCGGCTTCTTTGCTGTGGCTCTAGGTGCTTTTTAAACTAACCATGTATTGCCATGCGTCAAGTTGTTATGCAGGGAGACAACTCATCAACACAAGTATATTTATCATGTAGCCACTGAAAATCTATGCAGTTGAAACTAACATGTCTCGTCCGAAGGAGGTATTGCCACCTTCATATTATCAGGACTTGATGCACGGCAGCTTACTCCGTACATGCGCAGACACTCAGCCTCCGCAGTCATGATGACCTAACACGGCACCTGACATCATTGGAAATGGGGCAGCCGGGACCTTTTGCCCTAGAATTTAAACAAATCGCACTAGTTGCATATCTTGCCATGCTGAAATCGGGCGCCTTGCCCCTTGTCGCGGGTCGTCGGTGCAAGAAGAAGCAGTAGTCATGGCGAAAAACGGGGCAGAAAAGAGATTCATCATCATACGGCGTTAGACGATTACGGAAATGATGTGGAAATACCCGAATTTCCATGGGAACTATATTGCATTGACTTTGCTATCACCGGTCCTGGAGGACTGACGCACCAGACTCGAGAGGCTCACCATCCATGCACCCAACATTTGAAGCCTTTTCGCCACAGAAATAGCACTTGGGCCTATTCGACGTCTGGGCAGCATCTAAAGCACGGAGGCTGTAGATTATAGAGTTAGCGACAAACGACTCGAACAGTAGGATGAAAGGCAGTGGCCACCTACTTGGCCAACAACATGCTACACCATCAAGATCATCAGCACCTCTTTAAACAACAAGATTATCAAGGAAAAATAACGTAGCGTACCCAGCCACTGGCGCAAGGCGGTGGAACAGGAATACAATCATTATTACAATCGGCCGGTTGGGGCACAGCAGAAACAGACACTGCGGCCACAAGAACAAGTCTCACAAGGCGGTTCATATTGACCTGCGTCCGTTTGTTGCTGCTAGATGGTCAAATAAAACGCAAGTTTATGATGTTTTTTGTGTCGTTCGGCAAGGACTAGCGCATGATACGATTTGGCGGCTGGACCGTGGTCGCCCGCGGTATTTATTCTGTCTGGTAGCATTCATGGACCTATTGATTGCCTGGCATTCTTCATGCGGCACCGCATCATTGGACACGAGACTACGTGCAACCATGCCACGCATGATCCGAGAACGGTGTACGGCAAACACAACACCACCGCATGAGCTGAATGCCAGTAGAAGCCCTGATTGGGTGGCCGTCACTCAGCTTTCTCGTACACACGGAACGTCGGTTGCCGATGGGCGCTGCGGTTCTATCAAACGAAGCGAGCCATTCCCTACACAGCCAAACGCGATGCATGCACATGTTTGTTTCCAGAGTACGAATTGCCAAGAAGAAAACCAGGTTACGTCTATCGTCCTTGTCCTAGTGAAAAAGAAACATGTCCCCATCGTTTCCCCGCCAAACCCAGAAGCCATGAACCATGGCAGTGTTTCTCACAGCCCAATTTCCGAGTACGCATTCAGGGCCAACTGCCCGCCCAGATGGGCATACAGCACATTCCCGGCAGAAATCTCGCCCGACCGAATCAGCCCCATCATGCCGGCGAGGCTCTTGCCCTCGTAGACGGGGTCGGTGATGAAGGCCTCGGTCCGGGCGCCAAACTTGATAGCGTCGACGGTAGCCTCGTCCGGGACGCCGTAGACGCCGGCGTTGTAGTCGGCGTTGAGGACGACATCGCGCTCCGTGACGTCCTGATCGTCCAGGCCGATCCGGGAGGCGGTGAGCCTCGCGATGCGGAGGACCTGGGAAAAGGTCTCGCGGGGCCGGCCCGAGGCGTCGATGCCGATGACGCGGCGCGCGCGCGAGCCCTGCTTCTGGGCGAGCTTGAAGCCCGCAATCATGCCGGCGAGCGTCGAGCCCGTGACGGCGCACACGATGACCGTGTCGAAGAAGACGCCCATCTCGCGCTCCTGCGCCTCGACCTCGAACGCCCACCGCGCGAAGCCGAGCCCGCCGAGCGGGTGGTCCGACGCGCCGGCCGGGATGGCGTACGGCCGGCCGCCCCGGGCCTCGACGTCGACCGCGAGCCGGGCCAGCGTGAACTTGTGCTCGATGCCAAAGGTCGACGGGTCCAGGCGCACGTCGGCGCCCATGAGCCGCGAGAGCTGGATGTTGCCTACCTTTTCGTAGCCGGCGTCGTCCCAGTCGACCCAGTGCTCTTGGACGGTGGCGGCCTTGAGGCCCAGCCTGGCTGCTACGGCTGATACCGCGCGGGTGTGGTTTGACTGCACGCCGCCGATGGACACGAGGGTGTCGCAGCCTAGGGCCAGCGCCTCGGAGGCGAGGTATCTGGGGTTTTGGTGTGAGCTTCACGGCTTGCGGGGGATGAGGGGGATGGGCAGCCGGGGACAAGGGGGGGGGGCCTACTCGAGTTTTCGCGTCTTGTTTCCGCCGTATGCGAGACCAGAGTTGCAGTCCTCTCTTTTGGCGTAGATGTTGACTTTTCCTCCGAGCGCCTTGGACATGCGTGGCAGGTGCTGGATGGGCGAGGGGCCGAAGAGAAATGACTCTCGGGGTATGCTGGCAAAGGGCTCGGGCAGGGTGATATTGGCCATGATTTATTTCGGCTTTTGGACACGGAATACGGAAGGAATTGGAAGAGGCGCCATGTTGTTCCTGTTCCTCGGGGTAGCACCTCGATTTATATGTCTGGTTCAAATGTTGCTGGTGGACAAGCCGGGGCCTCGCGGCCCAAGTCCGCCGCGGCGGGGCGCTGGTGTCCGCCGAAGGCGCAACATGGCGTCGCTTGGGCTGGCATGGTTACAACATTAAACGTACTTAAGTCTGGCACATATGTACAATTGATGGCTGCCAATGTGTCCCCCTTTCCTCTACATATATTCACATACAATATACTCCGTACCAATGTCTGTTTCCCCCCTCGCCTCTACTCCGTAACCGCCGTGTGTCGGTTCAGTACACGCCCGGCACGATCCGCCACTTGACCTGCTTCTTGTACTTGTCCCAGTCAGCGCCGTACTTCTCGCCGCATGCCGCATCGTCTCGGCGCTCGCGGTGGACAAGCAAGACGGCAAAGTACAGCGCGTACAAGTACGTGTACACCATCCCCCATCCCCGCGCCGCCCCCTGCGTCACCTCTCGGCCGTCCGCCATGGCAGAGCCTCCCGCGCCGGCGTTGGCCACGGCACTGCCGGCAGGCAACACCAAATAGCCAGCGATGCCCGTGGGCAGCGTGAATGGAGAGGCTTGCAACCAGTCGCCAAAGTAGTTGATGTGGCGCGCCACACCCCACCAGCCAGACGTGAGAAGGCGAGTGCCGCGCTTGGTCTGTATGTACGACATGCGCGCCACTCGCGGGTCGTCTGGGGACCGTCGAAAGAGGGCCTTTTGGTTGTTGGCCGAGCGGAAGATGAACAGGCCAATGGCAAAGGCGGCGCCGACTGCTGCGATTTCCGCCGCGCCCAGGTCGACGGGGTGCATGGACAGGTACCGGCATTGCGTCGAGTACAAGAAGGGCACCCAGGCGATGTCTCCAAAGGTTAGCATGAACCCCAGCCCATCCGTGGTAATGTCCATCATCCCGAGCAGGCCCGTCTCGGCATATTGCCCCTCAAGGACATAGTACATCTGCACCGCCGTGATGAACAGAATGCTGTTGGAAAGGGATCCGTAGTTGCGGTACTGCTTCGCGACAAAGGCTAGGTCGAGAAGAGCCCATCCCGTCAGGCCGGGTCGCATTTCAAGCCACGCCTTTAAGTCAATCTCGCCAAAGAAGGGGAGGGTGACGCGGGGGTTCAGTTCGCGGCCAATATAGAAGTCGTAGATGACGCTTCCAGTGCGCCCCCCTTGAGCTAGTTCTCGTAGATGCTTGTTGCCTGGCTTGACGGTAAAGCTTTTAATGTACACAAAAGCCGAGATAGCGTACGCAAGCATGATGCTGGCTGTCAGTAGCTGCAGGTAGTTGCTGTCGATAAAAGTCCAGACGGCAAAGTCTGCGCCGTAAATGTAGGTCCCCGCGGCACATGCGGTCAACTGCACCACCGTAGATGAGAATGCTAACGAGGCCCGTCGAGTCAGCACGGCTCTTGTGGCCATTTCCCGAGTTTTGCCGTCTCCTCAAAATCTGCAAACGTACCGTTGAACCGATATTTCAGGGGTCGGCCCGACTCTCTCAACTTGGTGCCGTATACCTCGGTGGCCGGGAGCACGCGGTAGAGGAGCAGACTGAGAAGATAGTAGGCCAGCATCCAGCCGGTTGCTTTCCAGCTTGCGAAGCCGGCGAGGCCATTTTCCGGCCACGGAACCTGGGATTTGAGCACCTCCCATGAGAGCGTTTGCGGGCTTAATAGTGCGGGTGCAGGACAGCCAGTCATGTCATTGCAAGTGAAGAAGAAGGCATACAGCAGAGCCGGCAGACCCAAAACGATGGCAGTGGCACCTAATCTGGATTCAAAAGTTGGCCGTGGTCAGCTTCGTCTCAAACAGGGGGCAGAGAATAGGAGAAGGAGTGAGTCTTACGGCCCGCCAAACTCGTACTTTGGCTTTACTAGCGCGGATTTAGCCATGCTCTGGGGGTATTTAAGATTTCAATGGACCAAGAAAAGTGCAAAAAAAAAAAAGGCAGAGACCGGATAATTGAAGAGCATGTCAGCTTTATTCAGCCTGGCAGGATTTGATAACTCCGGATTCGGACCCACACCGACGTTCCTCACCCCATCCGGAGTCCGGGGACCCGACGGCGCCCGAGTGGATACATGCAAGTCCAAGGTCCAAGTGTAAAAACGAGTACCCATGGGCACCCTTGGTGAAAATTACGGATATCCACGGGTACTCGTAAAAGCAAATATGTAAAAAAGGAATAAACCGTAGGCATCTATAAATTCAAATAGGTACATGTAAGAATATGAGCTTATTTAAGACGGGGGATTTATCAAGAAGTCAACCTTTAAACTTCAATGCTGACTTATTATTATCTTAAATGGCCCCATTTTTTCCCCATGCAGCCGCCTTGCCATCTTGAGCTCTCAATTCCAGCCTGGCTTAACCCAAGACCCAATTCCCCCAAATGTCAACCAGACTAACTGCGGCGCACAAAGCACCGAGAGTCTGGCTGGAGACCTGCACTGCCAGAGGTTCCTCCACTTGTGCAGTGCAGCTGCAGATGTCGCCGCAAGTGCAAAACAAAGAAGCAGGAAATTAAAACAAGTAGTCACGGTGACAGTTCGCTCCAAGTTGACGCTCTGATTGGTGTACATATTCATTAGTCATCCAAACCGAGAAGACGTCTGCATGAGCATCCATTTTCGTCAACACTGCCACATCACTGCGCGGGAATCTAGTTTGGCATCCGCAACCTTTCCATGGCACCCTTGTTGAAATGGGCAAGATGTCTTCTCCGCCGCTCCCCGTTGCGCCCTTTACAGTTTCCCGCAACGGGCTTTGAGGTAGTTCCCGAAACTGAGCTGCTCGAGGAAGAAAACTACAAGGAGTTCAAGGCCGGCAACTACTGTCCAGTGAATATCGGCGATGTATATGCCTCCAATACGTACCAGGTCCTTGGCAAGCTTGGGTTTGGATCAACGTCAACGGTTTGGCTCGCCCGTAACCTGCAGTATGTCGACGGCACGCGTACGCGTTGACGGTTGGTAAATACTGACCAACGCCAAAATTAGTAATCGCGGATATTTTGCCTTGAAAGTGTTCAAGCGAAACCATTACGATACGTGTAAAAATGAGTTTCAAATGTACGACTCTATAGAGAAGGCGAATCCTTCTCATCCCGGACATGGACATGTCAGAACTGCCGTGGGTATGTTTACCATGGAGCGGCAAGGCCAATGCTATCCGTGTCTCGTCCAGCCGCCGATGTGGGATAGCTGGAAAGACCTTCTTTATCGAAATCCAAGTGACCGGTTCTCTGTAGCACTTCTAAAGGGAGGACTTCGACATCTTCTCCTGGCCCTCGACTACCTACACACAGAGTGTAAACTCGTCCATACAGGTATACTCTACGGATCTTGTGCATACGGGATACAAGTTTCTAACTTGAGAGTGGTAGATATAAAAGCGGATAATATACTTCACGCGATCGCTGATAAGAGAATCCTCGAGTCCTTCGTCAAGGACGAGATGGAATCACCCTCTCCGCGCAAATTCGTCAACAACACCCCTATTTACATGTCTAGACGGTTCGGCCTGCCTAGGGAGTTTGGTAGGATCGTGCTCAGTGACTTTTGGAGAGGTGGTGAAGGGAGATGTGAAACGAAACCACAACGCGCAACCGGACGTTTATAGGTCACCCGAAGTGATGCTCAAGGCTGCATGGAGCTACCCGATCGATGTATGGAACGTAGGGGCCATGGTCTGTCTCTCCATACACGAATGTTTGGAGTTCATGCGTTTACTGACTGGCTCCATAGATCTGGGATGTATTTGAGGGTGGCCACTTATTCCACGGTCTGGATCCCAGCCCAGAAAAGGGCTACTACACAACCAGGGCGCATCTTGCCGAAATTATCGGGCTTCTTGGTCCACCGCCCCTGGATCTTCTCCAGCGGGGGACCCGAAGCGGAGAGTTCTTCTCGGAAGACGGTGGGTTTTTGGCTATTTGCGGGTTATGGAGCGTCAGACTAATGCTGTCTTTTGAACACAGGCCAATGGATTGCGGATTGCCCTATTCCTCAGGGTAATAGCCTGGAAAAGGCGGAGCTTGTTCTCGCCGGGAGGAACAAGGAAATGTTCCTAAATTTTATAAAGGGGATGCTAACGTGGCGGCCGGAGGACCGAAAAACTCCAAAACAGCTGCTCGACGACCCTTGGCTACAATCTTGGGAGATATCCGATTAGACACTCGCAAAGGGCCCAGAGAAAAAAGCCTGCACAAGTAAGAAATCAGAAGCTTGAAAGATGCCAGGAAAGCTGATTTGGATGCCATGACTGCCAAAGGCTTGAATGACGTCGTGTGTGGGCTCCCAGAGACTCTTGACGTGATTAATCCGTCACCTGCGAGCTATGGAAGCTCCTCTTTTACTGGATGAGGATGAAACGGCCCCTAGGATCCTAAACCTTCTCTACAATAGCATTGCTACTGCTTACGACGAAGTTATCGCCTTGGTATAGTGGATTAGCCGTTCCTCTCCTCTGCGGATACACTCTCCATTGGCCGACGGTTGCCTAAATGTTATAAATGGCCCTTGTATGCCGGTGCACCCATCCATCTTGATAGAATCTGCAGCCTGTGTCTTTTTCACAATGACTAACACCAGGCCGGTTGTGTGAGCTCGGATTTTGGACAACCTTTGGACCATGGCCATGGGCGTTGTCCAAGTTGTTAGTCGTTTTGATAGCACCAACTCTACCATAGCCACGTAATGCACTACAAGTATATTGCTGTAATACGTTAAATGCTAGTGAATTTAGTGATTTACCGCCAGAAACTAGGGAAAGCTATCTCACGATAGCGTCAGCTAATAATTACGTGAAAGTAAGATATAGTTTGCCCCGGTCACTCACACGGTAAACTTAAACATGGACGCACAATATATAGTAACGAGGTCTGAAATCTCTTTTATTTTGCTATTTTGAAATACATCTTGTCCAGTCCGTGGCGTCACAAATATTCGCTCTGTACCATGTTTCGCGTTGCCATGGATGGGGCGACCGAGCCCGTGCAGGTCGACTCCAGACAGCCATCATCAATCACCAAGACCTCTTCGTGGACCTCACTGCCAGCGGAAATACGCCGAAAGATACTAAGCCAGGTGAGCTTGCCCGCCTCTAGGACGGGACACGAGGGCCTAGGCTCCCCCAAGGTGGCTCGTTTCACTGCAGTCTGCCGGGAATGGCAGGTCTTCTTCGAGGCGTGTACATTTCGGCGCCTTGTGCTTAACCCCGACTCTCTCGGCGAGTTTGATGCCATTGTCAGACGACGCGACGCTCGTTTAGGGTATATACGAAAACTCTGGCTTCGGGTTCAGCTCCCGAGGTACGAGTGTCCCGATTGTGATGAGACGGAGGACGAGGCAACACAGCGCTGGTATGTTGGGCAGCCACATCTCCTGCTCTGATACTGGTGTCAATACTTGGATGCTAATCAACGCTTGCAGCAACAACGAGATATTCACAACGTGTATTCGGTCCCTGCTGGGGACTCTCAAGCTCTGGGATCCCGTGAGACATGGGGGAGGGGGACTGGCGCTGATGTTGTCTGCTTCCTCGCCCAGCGATTCAGAGCATCGGTTTAAGCGATGCGAAATCAGGGACGATTATCCATTTCACTACACCGAAGACCTATATTCTGCACCTGGCATGGTTCATTTTCACTGGGTCAGCATCGCGGGTTTGTTCAGCCGTTATTTTCATCGCGACCGCCTTCCGCCATGGGGCGATGAACATCTCAAAAGGGTGCAGGGAACTCCGCTCCGCTTGGAACTACAAAGGGGTGAGCGAGGCCGCTTCATCAGTCCATGCAAGAGTTTTCCTGCCGTGCCCATAGTCAGGGGACTGGTCATGCGCAGACAGTTTCGCAGGGATATTCACGTAAGGGCCTTGTCTTGGCTACTTGCTCGAAGCTTTGTGGCATTGGAGTGGTTGCACTTGGAGAGGACTGTTTCCCTGGAGCCTCAGGAGGAAATTTCCTTCAATCAAGGTATGACGACGCGGGCCAGTCGTTACGGCGAGTATCTGGCGAGGCTAACACGCTTTTTTCTCAGGCTTCCAACTGCACTTGCTGCCCTCCCTGCCGAAAACACTGCGCCGACTCTCTTTCACGCGGTGGAAAATCCCCAAGACTGAGCGCTACTATGATGTCGAGCAAGTGGGATCTAGAATTCCTCCCCATGACCAAGACTACCTGCCTCGGGAGATGGCAAGGCTCTCTCAACGACTAGAGCAGCTCTGCCCGCCATGGCAGATGGACACAGCTGCCTTTCTTCGGTCCCTCGTTCAACTGAGGGAATCACCAGGGATGCTTGAAAGCTCCCTAAAACACGTAATCCTGCGTTGTTTGCTCCCAAGCTCCCAAGAAAGCAGAGAACATTTCGAATCGCTGGCACTCCTCGCAGCCAATGCGGCTCTGTCGCTTCCCCAACTGCAAGTCATGGAGCTATGGGGTACCTGTCTTGAAGGAGCTGAAAGCAGAGCCTACATCTTCCGGTACGCTCGCCAAGACCGTCGAGCCAGTATCGTCTGGAGGAGCTGTCAAGAGGCCATGGTGGCTCAGGCGCGGATTCTTCGCCGCTGGACCGACGTGGCGCAGAAACACTCGTATTCGACTCTCGCGTACGAGTTTGTCCCCTTTGCCGAGACCAATGCAGAGATTTTCTGGTCTGATGGAGCCTGTGTATATCGGCATCTACTGCTCAAAGATTTATTGTTTGATCCAATTACGCGGGTCATCATGGAGAACGAGCCTTATCAATGGCGTGGTTTATCGAGGCAAGGTGATGATGCTCTGGAGAATCTCGGAACTCCAAATTTGTTGGGTGGCCATTTATGAATGAATATCCCTGGACCGGATACCAACCTCGCGTCACTGCAAGCGGATCTCATTGCTTGGGATGCTGAAATCAATGCCTATCTCGAGCAGGATCATGGGTAGCACAGCGTGACGATATATCCCGGAGAAACCCATGGAGGAGCAGTGACTCTAGAGGACCTCCCAACAGGTCAGGATAGAGGTTATCCTTGGACATAAATTAACAAGGTACACCGGTCTTTGTTCCTGGTGGCGCATGTCTGTTGCCTTGCTTCAAGCGTTGATACTTTGTTGGAGGATACGGATCCAGACAGTTCTTTGGTCTGGGAGACGGAGTCAGGCACCGGCTCACCTGAGCCATCCAGATCAGGGATTCAAACTTGTTGCAGCAGATGGTGCAGTCGGCTTCAATACTAGTAGTATTGTCAAGGATAGAACTATTTTCCGTACTGATGAGGCCTTTCCGTTGTTGACGTCTGGGAAGAGTCAAGGCAGAGCCGCCTACCATTCTTAATTTGGTTTCCAAGACTCTTTCGTGGGTCTCTTGCAAGGGCGAGCAGCTAAAAGGCACCCAAGTCTGGGAATTGCCAATGGCTGCTATACATGCTTTTACTTGTAGCGCAGTGCCGCAAACATTTCGCGCCACAATCTGCGAGCATATTAGCACAGGAATATTACAAACGGCGGGGATAAGGTTGTTCTTGCCGTCATACTCTCCCCACAGAACCTTTCAACTTCTCTCGCGAGCTTGCTTGTCGTCTGTAGCGTGAAATCCCGTCCCATCAGCGTTCACCAGACACAATGTCCAGTCGTGGACTTCCTAGAGTGTCTCCCTCGTGTGCGCGCTCTTGGGCAGGATAGTCGAACTGGTTCTCACCTCTAGTATACCACGTGTATGTTCGCAATACGTTCACCCACCCCGTGAACGAATCTAGACGTCTTGTACCCAGTCCATCGTTGGCAGCCTGTCGGCTGGATTTTCTTAAATCAGAAAGCCATCGCCTTCACCGATCCTTTATCCCCAGCACCGCAGAACGATCCACATGCTGTGCATGGCCAAGAAACCGGCCGATCACCGCTCTTGGCTGGGCCACGCAGTGCTAGTCAATTGCCCGTACGAGAGAGGAACAAAAAAGTTGGACTTTTCAATGCGCAGTCTAGTGGTCTAGAATCTGCTTTCACCAAAGTCATTTCTTTGGTGTGTGTGTGTGTGTGTCTGCGGGTTCTGCGGCTCGACATCGACATGATTGAAAACATGCCACGAGAAACGCCAATGGTATGACTATGACTCCTCGAATCGGGCCATGTAGTAAGCACCACCCATCACTCGCAACTTGGGGCAATCACGAGTGAGAAGGCAAGCTGCATAATCGCAACACCTACCCTACCCGCAAAGTGTAGAAATGGGTAGTACAGAGAGATCTTGTCCATTCACCACCATCAACTCGTGACGTCGGGGTGGGAACGGGCAAGGGTGGCAATGCTGGTCCTGCAACTACAAGGGTCGTAGTGGTGGCGCGGAAAATATTAAAGCTTCTCGGTCTGTTTCCGGGATATTCCATGTTTTCAGCCGGTCCAGATCAGATAAGGCGAAGGCAAGAAGTGACGCCCCTATTCCGTTGTCTGGCGAACTACATGTACAGATGATGGCTTATATTTTGACGTTTAGCGTATCGCGCTATTAATATTAGCTTACTATTCGTAATTTTTTAATATAAAAATACTTGGATATATATAAAATAATATGCAGAGCGACGCTAGGAAGGTCTAATACCGGGCGTTCAAGGTCTAGAACGAGCAATATCGCCGCCTGCGCTGACTGGTGCCAAGAGTCAAGACGGTCTTGGCCATGGTTCCAACTGTGGGCAATCCCGACCAGTTGTCTTGGCTTCAGAAGCAAAGTGTCAACTGGTCGAGAAAAACAGAGGAATCCTTGAAAGTGGGAGAGAGATTTTCTGCTGTGGGCTTTTGCCACGCGACAGAGGGGCAGGCAAGGGTGGTCATGAAGAAGCCTTAATATATGCATGTCCATGCCGCCTCGCGCGTCGATGATGGACGACGACAAGCGCAGCGCCTCTTCTTGCATCGTCGAAACCGGCGCCATGTTCTTTCTGCCCAAGATCTTTGCTCGTGCCGACGACGAGCCCCCCGCGTCCGGGGCGGCGTTTACGTCCCCCAACGACAAGAATGTTGCCGACGGAAACAATGCGACGACCGTAACGAGGACGGATTCAAGCCGCGATGATGCCTCCGTCGAAGCCCAGGCTGGTGTTTTGGAGATGGAGGCCATCTCCAAAGTATGGAGCAGAAACCACATCATCATAGCATACGTCTTGTTAGTACTCCGTATACCCATTGACGACATGAAAAGTGTAAAACAGGGGCTGACGCCGCCGTCACAGCATCTGGATCATCTACTTCATGGACTCGATGCACTCGAGCATGTCCTTCACGCTCACGGCCTACGTCACCAGCTCCTTTCGGCAGCACGGGCTCACGGCAACCACCAACGTCTTTGCAAACTTGATCGGAGGTCTCTTCCGGCTGCCGCTGGCCAAGATCCTCGACATCTGGGGCCGGCCGCAGGGCTTCGCACTGGTCGTCTCGTTCTTGGTCATCGGCCTAGTCATGATGGCCGCCTGCCAAAACGTCGAGACGTATGCCGCCGCACAGGTCTTTTACTGGATCGGGTGCGTTCTGTTCTGCCGTTTACTTGCCAGTCTCGCTGTACCATTTGCAACAAGAGTCAAGGCTAATCCAGGCGTTATATGTCAGATTCAACGGCATCGCGTACACGCTGCAGGTCTTCATTGCCGATACCTCGGAACTAAAGAACCGAGCCTTCTTCTTCGCCTTGACGACGTCGCCGTTTCTCATCACAACGTGGGCAAGTGGCCCGGCGGCCACCAGCTTCCTCACCGGCGCCGGCTGGAGATGGGCCTATGGAACCTTTTGCATCGTCGTCCCGGTGGTGTGCTCCCCGATTCTCGTGCTCTTTCTGTACAACCATTTCAAGGCCAAGAAGATGGGTGCGCTGCCGCCGAGACAGCCTTCCGGACGCACGCCCCTCCAGAGTATAAAACACTACTTGATTCAGTTTGATGTTGTTGGGCTGCTGCTGGCCGCGGCCGGCATGGCGCTGTTCCTGCTGCCCTTCAACATCTACCAGTTCCAGGCTGAGCAGTGGGGGTCCCCCATGATCATTGCCATGATTGTTGTCGGCGTTGTCCTTCTCGTCGTCTTTGCCCTCTACGAGAAGTACGTGGCGCCCGTGCAGTTCATCCCGTACCAGCTGCTGGTGGACAGGACCGTCATGGGCGCGTGCGTTTTGGGCGCGATTGGCTTCATCAGCTTTTACATCTGGAACGGCTTCTTCTCGTCCTTTCTCCAGGTGGTTGTCGGCCTGACGCTGACGGAAGCGACATATGTCGGGCGAACCTACAACATGGGAAGCTGCTTCTGGGCCCTGGTTGTCGGTGTCATTATTCGGTGGAGCGGCCGGTTTAAATGGCTGGCATTTTACTTTGGCGTGCCGCTGATGATACTGGGAATTGCCCTCATGATTCAGTTCCGCCAGCCTGGCGTCGACGTTGGCTACGTCGTCATGTGCCAGGTATTCATCGCCGTGGCTGGCGGCACTCTTGTCATTTGCGAGCAGATGGCCGTCATGGCTGCTGTCTCTCACCAGAACGTTGCGGTTGCGCTGGCAATGCTATCCATGTTTACTAGTATTGGGGGAGCGATCGGGTCCAGCGTTTCTGGAGCCATTTGGAATGGCATTTTCCCCCGGAAGGTGGCCGAGTATCTGCCCCCGGATACTAAAGACCAGGCGGCCCTCATTGTTGGAAATTTGTCCAAGCAGCTTGAGTATCCGTGGGGGAGCCCGGCACGCGAGGCCATCATGGCTGCGTATGGAGATGCTCAGAGGGTTATGCTGAGTTCGGCAACTGCCTTTGTGTGCTTGAGTATAGTTGCTGTGGCGGTATGGCGCGATATTAAGGTCAAGGACTTCAACAAGGTGAAGCAAACCGATGCATAATTGGAGATGGCGACTTCTAACATGTTAAGCCAAGTCTAATTATGCCGTTCATGTTTCACACTTGGGTATGGCGGCTCCAAGTGGGAGCAAAAAGTGTATAACCAAATTGGGTACTAGGCTATTACGCTTTATATTATAAAATATTAATATATACTTTCTAATAAGTTCATATATTTGTATATATTAGTATATATTTTTAGAGGAATAACGCAACGTTTATGAAATTAGCGATTTATTAATAGCAGCTCGTATCGCAATAAAAGTCCATATCGCGCCCTCCCTCGAATTTACAAGAATTCCCAATAAGCGGTTTCCCTGCATGGCGCCAGTACCAGAGGCTCAAGTGACCTACCAAAGGCAAATTGTCAAACTTCAACATCCCAGCCCCTACACTACATTCTCGGAGCCATGATGAGTACCCTTGACTACCACCGGCTTGGCCGTGGTGAACTTGGCAATGTCGCCAAAGACAGCCTCAGAGTTCTTTCCCGTCGATGCAGCCTCCCACGCAGCCAGCGATTCAAACTTCAAGATGGCTTGTATCTGATAAATCTGGTCTGGAGCGAACTGGGTAATCTCCCAGCTCTTCAGGCCCTCTCCTTTCCAAGAACTATGCATGTAAAACCAAATGGTGAGTTCTGGACGCTGCGATCGGTGGTGCAAACAGATGCGGGTAACCGAGGTTGCCAAGCGCTTGCTCGGTGTCATAAAGAAGACCTGTCACTTACGCAGATACGAGGGGCATGTGGGTTTGCATGTAATACTTGATGTCGAAGTCGTGCCCCGACGGGTACAAGATGGTGATGGAAGCCATTGGTTGTGTGTTGCGTGGATAACGACGGGAGGGTCAAGATGTTGAGAAGCTATCGTGTTGTGTGAGTCGTTGGGACCTGGGCAGTTTGCTTGAGAGCCCAATCTATTGATATTCCCTTGACCCCGTTTCTGACATAATCATGCTGCAGAAACAGTCCAGTGGCATCGATGCATGTCGTCGGACATGGAGCTTTTTCGCCCGGCATGCGGCATAATAGAGCGGCATCTTACCCCGCTCCTCGGCATTGATAAGAATCAATATTGATACCCTCATCTCATCAGTTGATCAAGCCGTTCGTATTGTTAGATGAAGCGCCTTTCTGTGAGCTGACCATCTTTATGTAGTATCATGCTCTTCATCGAGCAATTAGAGTGCCCAATTTCGCTCCTGGGTATACAAACCGTGACCGTATGGCACTGTGTGACCCCTCTCGTCCTCGTCAGTCTACGACTCGAGTATGGCCTTGTCTCACACGAGCTCTATGCAGGGCTTTCTTTTGAATACCTAGGTGGCTAATGTCTAACATCGGTGTCGCCTCTAGTACATTGTACATTCATTCATCTTCCCCGCTCCAAAGTTGGACATGATGCGGCAACATCAGCAAACGGACACAGATAATCGGTGCGTCCCTAGACACCCTTGCCAGTCACTGTTTACAATCACTCCGCGCCGTTCTCGCATAACTCCTATGTCCCGGGCGGAGCATTTCATTTTCACACCTGTCACGGCCAGGCCCCAGGAATGAGATCCCTGGCACATCCACCAGGGACTCACGGAGTGCACTGCATTCTAACTAGTAACGATGCCCGTCGGCCAAACACAAGTCAGATCTACCCCCGTACGTGCACAAATATTCGCAAAAGGGTGTACAATGATTAGTGATTCACTGTGAAAAGCTGTTAATATCTCAGGACCTACGAGAAGCGAGCTGGGGATCAACCGTCTCCGCGCCTGCTCAGCCCCTCTGCAAGTTGAAAGCTGAGAGACGTCGTGTATCGCCCGCTGAGAGCTGAACTGGCAAAATTTGGCTATGCAGAGTAACCAATACTATTGAAAGACACGTACCGAGTACAAATTCGGACGCGGGGCCCATCGTCATCCGACGTGAGTTGGACGACTACTAATAATAAAGGGGAGTGAGACACTGGGTTTGTCCGCGCCACACAAACAAGCGAGAGGTATTGGAGCCCAGGGCTGATCATGGACGGCAAGATGAATTGCGCGCCTTCTAGCCCTGACCTGGGTGGCCGATTTATTGCGGGCAGAAAGAATTGCAATTTGGACGCCAGGCTGTGACATAGTAGGGACAGAGTTTTGATTCATTAGTTTTGCTCACTACCGGGCACATCATAATTACGAACATTACCCAACCATATGGCTTGTTGTGCATGCCAGGTACAAAAAGTAGGTGGTATCGAAACCGTTGCAGCATATCCTGCCTATCCCCCCTCGTCTTCTTTGAATCTATTGTCTTTTTTATATATAAGGCCTTTGTCACAGAAAATTAAATATTTCTTCACACGGCGCCCTATAGCATTTGAAACATGGCCAAGAGGGCCAATGGCAAGGCAACATAGAGACCCTTGCTAGCCACCTCCAAGCCAGCAGCGGCTCCAGGAGAGGGAGTCGTTGAGGGAGCAGCACCACCGGATGAGGTGGAAGAGCCCGTGGGCCTAGCAGTCGTCGCAGTCGAATTGCCGCCAGTAGGGGCAGAAATGCCAGTGGGAGTAGCAGTACCGGTAGGGACGCTGGTCGAGTTGCCGCCGCTCTTGCCATTGTACTTGTCGACGATGAACTGGACGATTTCGGGGCCGTAATTGCTAAAGTACTGGCCATGGACAGCCGTGTCTTCTCCTAAGTCGCAGTACACATCGCCCGTGTCGCACCAAGATGCGATTTTGCTGGCATATTTCTCGCAACTGGCGCTGTTATTGCGGGGAAAGAGCTAAACATGGCTGGTTAGAGCACTGTCTGGCGCATAGTTCTCCTCCTAAATCATAATTGAAGTGGCGGATTGCAGATATGTAACTTACCCCGTTCTTTTTGCTAGTGCCTCTATCATAAGAGACATTGGCAATATGGGTAGGGTCACCAAACAGAGCAACAGCGACAACTGTCCAAGTCCAACAATAAGCAATTGGCCACATGAGGAGTGCTGGATGGACATACCATTATCAACGGCACTGGAAGAAATAGCATCGGTGGTCGTGAATCCCGTCTCGTCGGTTCCGCAGAGAGTATCCAAGGAGACCTGGGCACCCTGGGAGTAACCAAGAATGGCAACCTTGCCATCGGGGCAGCTCTTGTGGTAGTCCTCGAGGAGCTCAGTCAGGTTCTTGGTGCCATTGCCGACGGAGTAAGGGTATGACGGACTTGCGAGAGTCGCTGGGTATTGGAGGCCGACTATCTTGCTGCCCTTGACCTGCTCGGCAACCTTCTTCCCAAGCAAGGTGCCGGCAACACCAATACCTTGCTCCTCACCAGTACCACGGACACTGATCATGTAGAGACCTGAGGCGCAACCCTTGGCATCATCGCCAGCATCAGTGGCTGGGATTGTTGCGCGGGCAGCGAGCAGGGCGACGGGGGCTAGAATGTGCTTCATCGTGAACGAATTCAAAAGGAATTGTTGATGATTTGTTGTGAGACCTTGGATAGGATTGGGGAGCCTTGGTGTTGTATGTATGTATCCCAGCAGCTTTGCCCTCAATTCACTTCAGAGTTTAGTGAATCGACGGAATAAAGGAGCAAGTCGAAGGAGGAGGGGAAGTGAAGGAGGAGAGAGGGCAGGCCATAAATGGAGTGGACCTAGATCCTAAAAAAGGAATTGACATGAGAGCTTCATGGCCGGCCAGGATGAGCGACGTAAGCTGGGCATACCGGGAAGCGTAACGACTCGTTTCAAGCCCGAGTTCGACTAGCTCTAAATCCTAGAGCCCACGCCGGCCAGTTCGGGATGGGCTGAAGCGTCAACTGTACGAGTCGAGTTGTCTAGCCCGTTCTGTGCAGGCTCCCCGGGGATGCCCTGAGTAGCGTGTGCAGTGGCGGGCTGCGGGCTGCGGGTTTAGCGCCATCTGCTCCACCTGCTCCATCTGCATGCCAAAAACCGCCGCCCCGGTGTTGCATTTTGTGTTGTCGTGATCTAGAAGGCAATTGGAGGTGCGGCCGCAGGGACTGCATGCCGTGCGACACATTAGCAATCTCTCAAGATTCGAAATGATGAGCTGGATAACTCCCACTTCACTTCATATCGATGGACCATGTGTCGGAACGGAGTGAGACGCGGGACATGCGGCCGGTAGGTTGGCCGTCGGTTGGTTTGACAGTTCCATGTTCCCCAGTGTCACGCAAGATCCCCCATCCCAGATCCCAGCCAGGAACGGAGAGAGCAGGGATCAACATGGAACGGATGCCACTCTGGCGGTGGCTTCCCAAAATGGCGCCACAAATCGAAGGTCTTTGGGGCCTGACACCAAGGTCTAATTGTACAATAACGACGACATCTGAATTCCCTGCTGATGACGGCCAGGTTCTGTCTGCAAGATGAAAGACGAACTATTGCAAGGCAGCCAGGTGAGAGGAAATGAGTTCACAGATGACGGCCATGGGCCCCATCTGCTCTCTGCTGGCACAGGGCGTCGAGCTCGGGGGGAAGGCGCATTGCCGTTCTTGCCGAGTTGACTGCCCTACGGATGCTTACTTCTAGGTACAAGGTACCTAGGTAGGCAGGTAGTTGTCCAAGTTGGGGAGACCGAACCTCCAATCTATGCCCAAATACTCAAATACGTAATACGCACCAGGCGCCACTACTCCAAGCTCTTGAAAGAATCGAACAATTACGGAGTACGGAGTACTGGAAACGAAAATGCAGGCGTTGCTCGTCCCGACATGCGAAGCACCCCGCCGCTAGTGATGCGAGGCATCTCATGGTGGCGGCCATGTCTTGGAGCTCGAGCCATTGCCGTCGCCTTCGTCCAAAGTGCCACCCATGGCGCGACCAATCTTTCAAATCCCTTGTCGAGACTGGTCGTAAAATCAAATCGCGGAACCCGTGTCCAAGGTCGTGTTTAATTGCCTTGTTCCGCTCCCAAGGTGAGAGTATCCAGACCACCAAATCCTCACACACCAGACACATCGGCGCAGGGTTAGGGCTTGACGGCAAACCAAACCCACAGAAGTCCCCGAACTTTGGGAAATGTGGCACGCTGCCCCTGGCCATCTTGCACATTGCACATGGAAAAGCCACCCAGGCGGCAGCTCGGCAACTTGATCCCGACCGACGCCAACAGCCCATTGTTCTACATTGAGATCCAGCTCCAAACCAGCCATGTGGCGCCAGATTCCCCATGGGGTTGGTGTGGGAAGTGTCTGGGAGAGTTGCTACACGGCGAGCTACGCAGTCATGTTGCTGCGAAGCTCACGACTGGAAAAGACTTCCACCTTTTCCCTATCTATCAAGTCCCAGGCTTACCGAGTACAGAGGCACCCTTTGGATCAATGTTGCTTGCATTAAATACGAGCACGCACTACCGACCCCCAGCGCTCTGCTGGCAAAGAAATGCTACGAACATTAGCCTCCTCCATTATTTCGCATTCGTATATGCTGGCGAGATGAGAACACTGTTCAGGACCAGGTTGATGGACTGGGAATTATCCATTCGATTAGGATTCTGACGCAGCATCTGTATCACGAACTTGTCCACTCCAGCTCTGAGAACTTCTGATGCTAACCGCGCTGATGGATCGCTGGTGGAAGCGACATGAGGGTCTTCGTTTTCTCACGTCATTCACCGATTGGCGCAGCTGCCGAGTCCGCTCAGATGGTCGAATGCAGAATCCAGGTCTTCGTCCAAGACATCGTCCGCGTTTTGAGTGGCCTGCTGTATTATTTCTGACGTGAAACTTCGAGCACACAGCCCGAGGCCTGATCTTTGGCAACGCCGCATATGCCCTCCATGTTGAAAGGCTGGTCATGAAATCAAGACTAGTTTTCTTCTTCA